GCCACGTCACATCCGCCAGCCGCATTCAATGCGGTGAACGTACCACTGCCGGTACCAACCGGCTGATGTGACCCTTCGGCCGTTGGATTACTGACACGTGTCCCCTCATCGCATTTATTGCTGCTATAAATAGCAGCCCATTTCTCCTTGTAATCGACACAATCTACATCCCAACACACGCTGAGTTCATTTAATAAAATCGACTCTCTCTCCTCCTATTTGCTCTGACTTCTCTCTAGTTATTTCCGCAATAACCCCCCGGATAAGATACCCCTCGGGTAGACTATCCATCAATGGTACTTTTAAAATATGCATTGTTATGACATTTTAAAAAATGAGCATAACATGAGTACCAATTGAACATATGTAACTTACAAAATGAGCATATATATGAAAATCATGAGGTTTGTTAGTTGGACGTCACGGTATTTTCATTAAGCATCAAACCTCCTATATTGAGATAAAAATAACGCTTTCTGTTAAATGAGCATTAATGAACTTTTAACTAGCATATGTAACTTACAAAATAAGCATTAATATGAAAATAATAAGCTTTGTTAGTTGAGCATGAAGACATTTTTTCATTGGGCATCAAACCTCCTCTATTGAGTATTAGAAGCGTGCAATTGAGTACCGATTGAGCATTCATAAATTATAAAATGAGCATTAGTATGACAATCATAAGTTTTTTTAGTTGAGTGAGCATCAAAACGTTTTAATTGAGTATCATGATCTCTAATATGACTTGAAATATGCATTGATATGACATTTTAATAATGCATTGATATGACATTTTAAAATGAGCATTTAACCAATACCAGATGATGAGCATATGTAACTTACAAATGAGCATTTAACCAATACCAGATGAGCATTCATAACTTACAAAATGAGCAAAAAAAAATTCAAAAGTTCAATTGAAATCTCTAATGTGTTCAAATATTCATTTGTGTATATTCATTTATCAATGCACATTTAAATTAAATAATATATTCATAATTATTTAGAAGATTGGAGCTTTTAATAGAAGAGTGAGAAAAGTATATGTTTTTATTGAATTGCTATTCAATATGAATTTTTGAAAGAATTGCATGAAAAAAATATTGTAGAAAAATTACATAAAAATAAAAAAGTAAGAGTTCAAAATTAGAGAACCGGAAGACAAAAGTATATACAAAAAGAAAAAAGAAACAAATGAAGCGAAAAAAAGAAAAAGAAATGTTAAAGTTAGAAAAAATAAAGTTCAAAATTAAAGGAAAAGAAAAAGGAAAAACCAAAGCATGAAAAAGAAAATAAAAACTTAAACATAGAAAACTTAAAGTTCAAAATTAAAAGATAAGAAAACAGAAAAACGAGAACTATAAAAAGGTAAAAAGGAAAAACGAGAAGGAGCAACCAAATGATAAGTGGATAAGGAAAAAGTGTAAATTACTCGTAACTATTAAGAAAAGGAAAAAGAACAAACGGAAGAGCAGCGACAAGGAAGAGTAGCAAATGCCATGCTCCGTAATTAACCACCTCAAGTTTATAAGTAATTACAAAAATACCTGGATGTACCAAATCACACGGTACATCCGGGTGTGTGATATATTTTGCGTTGTTTGTATTTCAGCGGGTTGGAACCAATCTGCTACAAAATGTAGCGTTTTGCTTTCACAAAAACGGCGGTTTGGAGGTAAATCCGCTGCTACCCAAACATACCCATTGATGGACATATAATATAATGGATTCATTTATTATAACTATGATGTTATAGATGTACTACATCCGTCCCATATTAAACTTCCAATTGCAGGTTACGAAGTTTGACCAGCGATAAAATTAAATAATCCCTGTGAAAATTCCGATTATTTTTAGTAAATAAAATTTACATATTCAGAAACTACATTAAACCCGCTACAAAGCTTGCAAAAAATAATTCAATTTTTATAAAATTTTGATATATAAAGTAGGAGTACGTTTAAGTGTGATTTGAGTTGACTCTCGAAAAGCGAAATAGAAGTTTATTTAGGGACGGAGGGAGTATTATTTTGAATATTTATGCTTAAATTGTAATGTAAAGTATTAATTATTTCTTAAAATAGAAATAAATTCTTTAAATGGGACTTTCTAAAAAAGAAAATTGGAACCTTAGAATGGAATGGATGGAGTATCTCATTGGACTTTGTCAACTTTTCCTTTTTGGTTATTCCAAAAAAATTGTCACTTTCAATTAAAGCAATTAATTTGTGGCTCTGTTCATTTATCTCTCATTTGCCCAAACATCAACAACGCGTTTTTTTACTTTTTTTATTCTCACTTACTTTGAAATTGACAAAGTTCATCGAGACGAAGGTAATACTCCGTACTTAATAGTGTAGTACTCCCTCCGTCAATTAAAATTCTTCTCACTTGCCTTTTTGGAAATTTTTGTGTAGCTAATGTTTATTTACATTTTTCTTACTCAACCACACGCATACATTTTCAATTTATTCTCACTTTCTCATACTACAATCCAAGTCCAATCAGGAAAAATTTTATGGAACGAAGGAAGTACTTGTTTCGACGGGGTAGATTCGATGTTTATATGATTTGAATGCTAGTTTGTTTGATGCAGTAGTGAGTAGCCAATAGGTGATTAAAAAATGTTCGTGTACACTGCGTTTACATGCCCGTGTACACTATATATAAAGCCTATTTTTTTGAGTCATTCGCCCACAAGTGCAACCCCAATTTGTTTGCCTCAATTTTCTTTTTGTCTGTGTCCTTCCCTTTCTCAAAACCGCGACTCCTCTTCTGCTTCAACAAGTGACGAGCAACAACCTTCGACTAGGTGGCGGCCACCATTGTTGGCTGAATGATTTGAGTACAATAGACATCTGCGGTGATGAAGTTGGCATGGCCTGGACATGGAAAAATATTTTCGGAGAGTGTAGGTGGAACCGACATGCCGACGGCCATACATGGCAAAGAACAAACGACATATAGGATCCAAGTCGCGAATGAGCTAGGTAGGTGTTTATGTTGCGTTGTCATCATTTTTATGAACAACATTTTTAACGCATTGACAAGTTGTAAATGCAATATCTGTGCACAACCAAGTCATCTACCAATGTGGACAGACAAAGAAGTGTTGTATGTGTATGTAGCAAGAGAACTTATTTGTTTGTGTCCACACACTGAGGCTTTGTTTGTACAGATAAGTACTGTGTATGTAATATGTTGCGATAATATTGTATGTATGCGTTCTTCGCCATTTTGACCAGTTTTGTAAGGGTTCACACCTCATGTTCTCATTCTTTGAAGTTTATAGAGTAGTTTGTCAGGAAAATTTTGAGAATATGATTATAACATTCTCTATATGTGCATAATATTGTCCTTGTTCAAATAATATTGTCTGTATGTTCATAGTACTGTCTGTATGTGCATAATATTTTCTATTTGTACATAATAGTGTTTGTATATACATAATGATTGTAAGTAGGGTACATAACTTCCACATTATAGACAAGTACATGTGTTAAATAACAAAGAAAAAATGGCCCAGATATAACTACGGGGCTTTTGATTTCCAAAGATATAGCAACTTTTACTTTTCCCAAATATATGACCTGGCCCATAGGCTCCTTCGATTTCAGTTGTTCGCGAGTGACCCGAGAGCTTCCATACGCTGGATCGAAGGACTACTCGTAGAGAGAAGATCTCCCAGCCGTTGGTCGTTGCCATCGCCTCCCGACGAATCTCGCCGCCGCCATCGTCTCCGACGAATCTCATCCCTGCCATCGCCTCCAACGAATCTCGCCGCCGCCATCGCTCTCCGCAGATGGATCCTCACTTAGCCATGCCATTCCCGCTAATTTCCGTATCGCTGGAGGAGTGCTGCCATCGCCGCTCCAGGGCTGAAGTAGTGCCGCCATAGCCACTTCAGGGGTCCACCATCTCCACTCCACGGGTCCGCCGTCTCCACTTCAGCCGTCGTCAGTCTTTGTCGCCGCTTCAAATCTCGCCAGTCTTCATTTAAGAAAATAGTCTTAGAACAAATTATTAATATTTCATATCTGTTTTAAGACATTTGATGGGTCAGGAAAATGATATAGGATAGGTAATAATTCAAAAAATACTCGAAAAGCTGTTTGCTTTTAAGCTCTTTCAAAAACATAATGTTTAACTTAAACCGACTATAATGCTTTAACTTGAACAGACAATGATTTAAAAATAATTAACAGCGTTTCAGTAAAAAAGAAATATTAGTAAATTTTAAAGGCAGAAGTGTATGATACAGTGAAAGAAAACGCTGTTGGAAAAATAATCACAATTTACATATTTTGAAATTCAGGAAAACGGTGTTTATAAGAACGACTAGTTATACGTAGGGGTGGACCGGTTCCGGTTCGGGCCCGGTTCGGGCCTGGGCCCGGCCGGGCCTCGGTTCAGAAAAAGGAGGCCCGGGCCCGAACCGGTGGTGGGCGGTTCCGGTTCCGGTTCCGGGCCAGAACCGGGCCGGGCCGGGCCGGGCCGGGCCACCCGGAATGTTTTTTTTTTTTTTCTTCTTCTTCTCTTATTTAACCCCCTACCCCTCCCCCTCCACCCCAAACCACCCCAAACCACCTCAAATGGCCCAAAATACCTAATCCAACCCAAAACTTAAAAAAATTTCAAAAAAAAAAAAAAAAAAATTAAATTCCGGCCCGAACCGGGCCCGGCCCGGCCGGGCCGGTTCACTAAACTGGAGGCCCGGGCCCGGACCGGTATACCACCGGGCCTGGAGGCCCGAACCGGAACCGAACCGGTTGACCGGGCCGGTCCGGGCCCGCACAGTAGCGGGCCGGTCCGGTTCCGGGCCGGTTGGCCCGGCCCGAGTCCATCCCTAGTTATACGGAGTATATTACAGCAGTGTGTTCTCAAACACATCTTTTTATTTCATGAAAAACTACGTATAATCTAGATTTTGAGTTATCTCAGAAATGGATGGATGGGACGATAATTGAACTGAATTTGCTTACTGTATGCAGATGATTCAACTATTTCAACACATGTCATTATCTTGAGCATGTATTACTATTATTAATTCAGAAATGATAAGTTTGTTTTCTTCATTTCATTCAAATAAACTAGTGTTTGATGAGCTGGCTCAATTAAATTAGTTGATATTTAGGAGATTTCCAACTAAATAGGCCGATCAACATAAATGTGGTAACCGAAGAAGCACTTATGAAGAGCGTCTTCCTCTATGATCCCATCCCAGTCCAGCATTTCCCATATTTCCTTTTGCTTGCAATGGTTCAATCAAACCCTTGTTGCTGCTACCAAGTGCCTCTCCCTGCAAAAACATATAACATGCTTATCCATATCAGTTAACAAATAGAAACAGTCACAATAAGAGCAGTCATGCAATCGGCATTTGAGAGGCAAGGGGAAAGATGTGAAAATAGCACTCCCACCACCCCCCATCCTAACTGAGTAGTGGCGAAGGCAGCTGCCAAGTTCTTATTACAAACCTTGGTCAGCGCACACTCTTCACTGTAAGCAATCATTTGTCATGCTTGTAGTGACGTTAGGTTACCAGTGGACGATGTAACCCGGCCCACTACAGGTGGGTGAACAGGAATAAGGAAAATTGCTCTCAAAGTTTACCTCTTTCCAGCCCATGCTTTCGAGAACTCTTCTGGCATAACTGCCAGTTCCAAATGATGCATTCAGGGATTCAGCCATTGCTTCCTCTGGAGAAACTGATGTGGAAGTGTTTGGACCTGAATCAAATGAGCTCTTTTGCCCTGGACCTACACCGATCCCATTATGTAATGCCCGTCTCTCTGCAGCTCTATCTCTATAAACATGACCTCTGCTCTAGAATTACCAAATGGCAAAAGAAAAAAGAACCTATGAGTAAGACTCAAAAGATTCAATGTTCAAGTGAAGTGCACAAACTCCACTATATATGGACAATAAACCTTATTAAACGCACTGATCTGCTCAGATGACAAACTAATATCCTTCTGACCAACAACACCAGCAGGAGCTTTTGAGTCACATCCCTGACTAGATGTAGTATCTGTTCTGACTAGCCTGTCCATTAAAATTTGAGGAAAGCACCAGTCTTTTGTTGGGTTTGAGGAATCATAGTTAGACAAAGAAGCCAAGTATTGTGAGCTGGGATTCCGCAGCCTATAAATATTGCCTGTATAAGGAGAAGGCTTCAGCAGCTACACCTTTTAAGTTAATAGAACCAAGAGTAAAAAATCAGAGCTAGAGGCAAATAATTCAGGGTTATCATTGTACCATTTGGATCCAGTTATACTACCACTTACCAGCAAACATATATATAGATAGTGGCTGTTTTTATCATAAAAGATTTCCACTTTTGATCCCATTTAGGTCAATTTTCACCTTGGTCACTGACTTTCACTTTTGGTGCATGTCTATAGATTTCTTGCCAGTATGGGTTTTTTCAGTTAAAATAACCTAATAGTCCTGGGACCAAAAGTAGAGTATTCTTTTTATCAGGAACCCACATTGTTATGACCTCTTATAAAAATCCCTGCCTAGACCCGCCTAGGAGCTAACAAAAGCTGACTATATAGCTCTAAAGCAGGCTAAATTTGTATAAAACTTTTCGAAATTGAAACCAGGGAAATAGCAAACCTGATTTGACTCGTACCAGATCAAGATGAACTTCACAAATAGGAGCAGTTCTGAGAAGCCCACCACTGGAAGGCATTGATGGATGCAACTTAGTGGAGCGTTTTGCTAACCGTCCAACAAGTACCGCCACCTTGTGTTTCTTTTCTTTCCTTCTCCTTTTTACCAGAGACCAATCCCACAAATTGATCACATGTATATCGGATAACAATGAATCTTCATCTGGTCGAGTAACTTGACCATACTGAGCTTGCCAGTTTTCTTCCTCTAAAGAAGTACCTGCTTTGCAGATGTGGATTTGGCATGTGCATTTAAGGCTTTAGAAATTTGTCTTCTTAAGCTCCAGAACTAAATTACTAGAAAAAGTCAAAGGATCGAATTGATAGCTGACTCAACAAATGCACTCGCACATATATACATCATGGTAGATCAATGCAGATCGACACGTATGAGTTATGACAACATGAATCTCAAATCAAAATAAGGAGCACTATTGAGCAACAAAAAAGGGAGTTGATGGCCACAAAGTGAGAAGTCGAACATAATTACAAGATTTCAAATTATCTAGAGAGATCTAATTCACAAACCTTCATCCAATGCATTTTCATTTGAACATGAAGACAATAGATGGTCATCTGGAACCCATTCACCTTCCTCAAGTTCATTCATATCATCACTCCCTGCATCTTGACAAAATTCAGTAAGCTTCAGTAGTCCAGTTCAGAAACAATAGTTCTACAATATATTGTAGTTGTGTTATACAAACCAGCTGCAGATACATTCAAACCATCTAATAAGCCATTATTGTCCTCGGGCACTGTTGTGTCAGAAATAGCATGTGTCGATTGATTTGGATAATTGGAAAGATACAGATCAATCAGAGTGTCTTCAAGCCTAATATTAAAATCCATGCTTGGTAAAATGGTAAGATTATAAAACAAACCTGTCATACCCAAAATTAAGGCATTAAGGTAAGAATGGCGTTTAAGTACATACCACTCAGATGGTGGTGGATTTTCTGGCAACTCATTTTCAATACCACCTTTATGGTCTGCTTATACCAGAAAAACAAGAAAAAGACTAATAGCATTAAATTAACACCACTGTATTAAGAATCTGGAATGGCTTAACAGTTAATATGTAAAAGTTAATGGGAAACGATTTTATGATGGGATTAGATCGTGAGATAAGCATTAGTTTCAATGAATTAACTTCGGAATCAAGAGTACACCATAAGAAACGAAAAACTAGAGCATGGATAGCATGAAAGACTGAATCTTTATTCACTAAATGATTCAATGCCGATGCAAAAAGGTTATCAACTTAATGGTTATCATCTTCACTATGAAAAGTTTAATAATAAAATTATGAAGACTACTTTACCTGTACCCCATGAAATTTAAATTAAATTAAAAAACACACAGTCACTTGCAAATCTATTTAATTTCAATATAAATAAACACTATATCACGGCCCAGTTGCTAAAAGCGAACAATGCAACTTACTCACCCTCAGAATTTTTAACAGAATAAGTTCGTGCTGTTTCATCATAGAATTCAACCAAAGATGAAGACTCTTCATTGGGATAATGAGGACATGTATACTGTTCATTTTGGAAAGCAACATTAGGACCAGTAGAATCAGAAGTACCCCTCTGAGACACATCAACCTGGCCACACACCAAAATAATATTTAACATTATGTAAAAGATAATGAATAACAATAAACTGAGACTGACTTCAGAGAAATAACAGGGAGAGAAGATTAAAAGGTATAATTGAAAATACTACCTGATCAGAATGAATCAAAATATAGTTCCCGTTTTCAAATTTGTAATAATGGCCGTCTCTACTGCTGTAATACCATTCCGCTTGAGGGTCATAATAAAACCCAGTGCTGCGTCAATGGAGAACCAAATTACAATATCAAATGCTTGACACATGGACAATAAAAACTTCAAATACCAGCAAAGCTTCTTTTGTGGGGATCGAGCAGAGTAAAGGGGTTGAGGGGGAAATTGTTCTTCCAGAAAAGGCACGAGCCGTTGTAAATTAACAGGTACCAACCGTTTGACATTGTGTGATCATGCAGTATACGAATGTTTATTTGAAATAAAAAAGAAATGTGCATGAAGCCATGAAGTCAATTGAAATTGGAGAGCCCTAATTTGAAAAGGAATTTCAACACATAAAGAAATCTCGAACTCTACAGATTCATAAATAGCGACCGACTTGGAATGGTAGTAGAGCTGGGTATTTACATCCCACACAAAGCCGTCATCGGTCTGTGGTGGTTCAGGCTCCGGCGACTCCAAATCGCTGGTTAACGCCATGACTCGCTTGATTTATGGTGTGCACTTTTATCTTTACTTTGTTAGTTGGTTTCCCGCATCGTAAAGAAGAATGCACAACAAAACAGATCAGGAAACATTGTGATGCCTCCTCTGTTTCAGACTTCTGTTGACTCTACCCGCCAGAGTGAGGCACCCCATTGGTCCTGTTCCTTCCCAACTTTCCTGTATGTAGGACTGGTCGCAAATTATATGATATTTTTGACTTCTTTATTTTTTATTCCTTTTGTTGTTAAAAATTGGAGTTTTTTTCCTAATTAATGCTAATTAATTAATTAATTACGGAAATAATACTGCAAAAAAATATTTACCAAAATACTGCTGGCCCTTAACCACGGTCAGGAGTAAGTCGCCCAACCGTTGGGCGACTTACCCCTGAAATAAAGTTGAAGGCGAGTAGTTACTGCCAGCCAGGCACGATCGTGCCCAGCCTGGGACGCACGATCGTGCCTAGGTCCAAAAACAGTATTTGAGCAGATTTTTCGCGCCAATTCAACCCGGACTCATCTGTTTGCTATAAATAAGGTCTCTCTTCTCCTGTTTAAGTGTTACGAGCCAGATACAACACATTATAAAACATATTATTAAACATACAACACACGGATTCTCAATCACATACATAACACCCCCTCTCATCAACATAAAAAACACCTTCAAAATAACCGGTATAACAAAGTACAATCATTCAATATTCATAACAAGTAATCATCTAATATTCAGACTCGAACACATCAAGACAACATACAAGACTTTACAAGATAAAATACGTCAAATGTTGTAAATTGTTCCTACAACATCTACTGCATAAGAAAAACTACAATACAAAAGACAGACTACAAGTTCCCATCGTCAGCTTCGTCATGGAGATGTTGCTGCTCATGTCTACGCCTACGGCGTTGTCGTGGTTGAAGAACCACTCTCTCATGTTGCGTCTGGGATGATGAAGCCGCGGCTGCACTAGACGTGGATGCCATCTCCTGAGATGGGGGCATGTGTATAAGATGTCCGTAGTCTACTCGGCCCAACACATCTGAGCACAACGAGGCAATGCCTGTCAGAGCCTGTCCATACATGTCCACATCAGGAATATCAGTCACAGTGGCAGTAGCCCGCTGATGTATGCGCTGCAAAGCTCGTGTCTGAAATATGAAACACAATTACAATTACATTCAAATACATACAAGTATTACATAAATAAAATGACTTACTTTACTAATTACTAATATACTCATCGTAAAATGCAAAGCCAAGGAGCTAGGCTGATAATGATGAGTAGGGAGTCTGAACGAAGGAGACACAAATAACCGAGTGATGCTGTAGTACCATCCCATGTAGTCTCCTGAAACAGATGGCACATATGTGGGTGTCCCAACCACAGCTAGCTCAGCTCTCCTTTCCCACATAGTCACGTACCGGACATGTCTGAGTGCCCAATCCTCTGTATGCTTCCCACGCCTATCCAGCTTATGCAGCTCTACATAAGTGTCGATAGGACGTGGAACGACCTGCTCAAACCCAAACTGTCGCATGACTCTATCAGGCAAATGCAGCTCAACAATGTCAAAACATATCAACGGCACACGTGCTCGCCAGATGTGAGTATGCTCTCGTCCAGCTGGGGACAACTCTGCTAACATATCAGGCCTAAACGGCATCCATGTGATCTGTTTCATAACATACAAAATTAGTCTTTATTCTACACATATTCTAGTTAATGTTATACTACATACACCATACCTGGTCCTCAGACATCCGATCCAATGCATCCCTGTACACACCGAGCCCAGTAGCGGATGACATGCGAGATAGACCAGCATATAGCCACCTAACCATTCATGTAACAATATCAATAATATGGATATTATTAATTTATTAACATTCAACAAATACTCACATTAATACAAACGATTGAAAACATACCGACGGCCTAGAGGGTCCTCGCCCCGTACATGATGTGGTCCTAGCAGACGTGGAGGCTCATCAGGCAGTGGCTGTCCATCAATGCCATGATATCCGACTATAATGGGACGGCTAATGTGGATATACTCCCATGACCAAATCTGGAGGAGTAGCAAAAATCCCCCCAGCTCTGTGCTCCCTCTCTGGCATCTGCGACACAGCTGCCTGTATAGATAAGCCAGGGTGGCACTACCCCAGCTGAACTGTGCTGCTACATCAAACCTCTCCAGCAAAGGCAAGTGTAGCACCTGAACCTCATTTCCGCTCTTGTCAGCGAAAATGGAGGCTCCCATCATCATCAATATATACGCCCGAGCATGCTGCTGGATGATAACCTCATCAGCGTCGGGAGGAAGGACCTGGAAGTGCTCCCTCAACCACGGCATCTCGAGCATGCAAGCGCCACGAGAAACCATGACAAAGCTGGTTCTACCACCTTCATGGCATATTTGCCCAACAACATCATAATAGTTCCCTCCCCAATGACACACGATTGGGAAGCTTGAGAAATCCATATTCTAATAACAATTCATTGTCCAAAATTCATGAGTACGCATCAATATACACACTTTACACACATTCAAATTTCCTAAATAAAAAAACTACCAAAATTGTAATATATTCAAAAGTCGAAATTGACCAACAATTCACATCTCAATATGAAACTACCCAAATTTTGATAACTACATTCAAGTCTACATTTCAATATCCAAATTTAGCTACAATCAAGTCTATCCAAATGCCCAAATGTCAAAATACACATTAAAAATTACAATTAATTTAAAATCAAATTTCAACATTTCATACATATCCACATTTCACAACAACTGAATTCACAATCAATTCATAATCCAAAAATTGGAAAATTTTAACATTCAAAACCCTAGGTTCAAAATGAGATGAAATGGAGTTTGATTTACCTAGAATCAAGAAGAAAGAGTGTTGGAGCTGGAGATGGAGGTTTGCCGGAATGGGGTCGCCGGAGATGAAGGTTCGCCGGAGTTGGAGATGGCTCTCGTCCTTCGTCGGTCGTCACTCGTCGTTTGTCGCTGCAGTTTAGCTCGATGGGGGTATGTTTAGCGATCTGTTTTCTGTGGCTGTGCGCGATGAATTTACTTAAGGGTAAGTCGCCCAACGGTTGGGTGACTTACCCCGACCATGGTTAATCCAGCAGTATTTTGGTAAATACTTTTAACCCAGCCCTAATTTCGTAATTAATTAATTAATTAACATTAATTACGAAAAAAACTCTAAAACTTGTACTAATAACTTTTTTATTTCATATCCGATTTTTATAAATTTTATATTAAATTTTGTTACTTTTCATGATCTATCAAATGAGACCAATATTGTTTATGTAATTTTAACAATTTATCAAACTATTATATAAATGATTATTGGATTATAAGGGAAATCGAACAAAATTTAATACAGAAAATAATTGTGTAAATCACAATTTATCTTAAAATTGTGTATATAAAAAATTTATTGTATTATGTATTTATACATGTGAGTTACATATTTTTATACGTAAAATTACATATTTATACACGTAAAGTTACATATTTATACACACGAGTTGCATTTGGCCTGCCTGAACGCGAGTTACATATTTTTACACGTAAAGTTACATATTTATACACGCGAGTTACATATTTATACACACGAGTTATATTTGACTTGTCTGAACACGAGTTACATATGTTTACACGTAAAGTTACATATTTTTACACGCAGAGTTACATATTTATACACACGAGTTGCATTTGGCTTGACTGGACGTGAGTTACATATTTCTATACGTAAAATTACATATTTTACATAGGTTAATATAATAGTTCGATAATATGTTAAAATTACATAGGCAATATTGGTCTCATTTGAAAGATCATGAAAAATAAAAAATTTTGATATAAATTTTATAAAAACCATCAGATCACAAATGAAAAAGTTATTATAGTTTTTAACAATAAGAGAAATAAATAAATAATAGGATCCACTATCATTTTAATACATGTTTCATGCGGAGCTTCCAAAGATGCCTAAAACCGTATGCCGGTATACGGTGCTCACCATATACCGGTCATACGGTATAACAACTGAGGACTGGTACCCTATTCAGGCAGTATCAGGTTCACTTAGAAACGGACCGTACGGTCTTTTGAGTATTTGAAAATGAAAATCTGAAAAACTAAAGCAGAAATTAGAGAATAAAAAATTAGAAAAAGAAAATCATAACAGGAAATTAGAGAACATAAAAGAAAATTCAAAAATGATTGTAACTAAATGGGTCCTTGTTAGTTTTCCAAATTTGAAATATGCGGAAATTGCATTGCTCCTCTAATGAATTGCCTACTGACGTTTAGTGGTGGACTCCGTCCTGCTCTGTTCTGGTCCCACTCTAGTCTCAGTCCGGCTCAATCGATGACCGGGTGGTCCTAATGCGGTCCGACCGGGTCTTGATCTAATTCCACTTTTTAAAATCATTTTTTCAAAGTAAAGATTTTCAAAAGAATTATTGAGTTGCCAACTTATAGAAAAAAAGTAAAAGAGTAGTTTAAACTAGCTGTTGGGAACTTGGGATCGACCGGGACAGACCGATTACGGTCCCAACTTTCCTATACCTGAGACTGGGTGCCCTATTTGAGTTGTAACAAGTCCGGTTCCGGAAAGGGTCGCACTTTCTGTCTTTCAGCTGGTCCTAAAACCGTGTGAAAAAAATTAACAAACATATTTTCGAATTTGAAAATGGAAAATTAGACAATGAAAGCAGAAAGTTGGATAATAGAACACCGGGAAACAAATAGTAGTATATAGTACGAGTTATCTTCATACTGTTGTAAAACCCTGGAAATGAAAAGTGTGAATTGTTCATCCTTGTCATCATCCTTGTAATCAGGACACTAAGCTTCTTACCATCCTTGTAATCATAGATAGATAGATGGCTAGTTTTAATAATGCCAGCAAGATGTGTAGAATTACTCCTGGCCTTGATGATTCATCACCAAGCCCAACTAGTATAAATAGGGCTTGATCAATCACTTGTAAATTAATTCAGAAATTCAGAAAATCTCAGATATTAAGAAGAAGTAATTTAGAGCTTTTATTAATATATTTATCTCTTTAATCTGTTCTTCATCTTCTTCATTTCACAACACGTTATCAGCACGAATCAGTTCAAGAGTTTGAGTTCTTCATTAATCA